TGTCCAAATGCTCCTTGAGCTGTGGCAGGCTTGTGGCCGTGACCATTCTCTGGGCACCCTGTTCCACACGCACCACCCAGCGAGGAGAGCCCAGCCCGGGGGAATGTGCCCGTGCCCGGCTCTCTGCAGAGGGGACAGCAGCGACCCTCCCCTGCCCCAGGGCCAGCCCCGGGTACAGGGAGGGCAGCGGCAGAAAATGGAGCCGTGGCCGGGCGCCAGCTTCGGCGGGACTACAGCTCCCGACAGCCGCTCCACGGTGTGCCGGAGCGCCGCGGGAGCTGCGGCGGGGCTGGAGGACCGGAGGGGCGGGGGACACCGGGGGCGGCGGGACTACAGCTCCCGGCGTGCCCCGCGCCAGGACAAGGGCTCCCGGCGTGCCCCGCGCCAGGACAGCGGCTCCCGGCGTGCCCCGCGCCAGGACCACGGCTCCCGGCGTGCCCTGCGGCGGGCACCACCTCCGCGGCCTCCGCAGCGCTCCCAGGCGGGGCCGCGCGCCACAGCAGCGCCGCGTCTGGGCATGCGCTGAGTCGGGCCACGCCCACACAGAGCGTAGCCACGCCCACCCAGCTATTGGCCACGCCCCCCGGAGCGCGGGAGCGGCGCGGGTCCCGCAGGTGAGCGGGGTCGGGGTCCGGGACCTCTGTGGGGGCTCTGCGGGGCCCTTTCTGGGGTACCGGGGGGGTTTGCCGGGGCTTGGGGCCCTTTGGGGGTGTCCGGGGTTCTGCCGGACGCCTGGGGGTCGTTTCCCAGGGGGGTGTGCTGTGCGGGACCCTGGATTCCCTTAGGCTGGTGGTGGGGCTCTGCGGGTTCTCTTTGGGACTGCGGGGGGACTTCGCGACATCCACGGGGCCCTTCGGGGATGGAGGCGGCTCTGCCGGTGTCCGTGTGCCCTTTGGGGGGATGGCATTTGTGGGACCCCTGGGTCCTCTTTGATGGGGTGCTCTCCCCGTCTGTGGGACGCCCGTGTTCCCCTTTGGGGAAAGGGAAAAGTGTCTGTGTGACTCCTTGGTTTTCTTCGGGGAGCGGGGGGCTCTACAGGTCCCCTTTCGGTGCTTTGCAGGACACCCCTTTGGGTGGGGGGCTGCCCTGTGGGATCCCTGGCTCCCTTTTCTGGGGGGGCTGATGTGCCAGACGCTTTGATCCCCTTCAGCGGGGGCTCTCAGGGCCCGGGTGGGTGGGGGTGGCTCCTCCTTGGTGGTGGGTGGGCTCTGCCGGACCCCTGCATCTCGCCCAGCCCCACATAACCCTGGGGAGCATCCCCAGGGGGTTCAGTGGCCCCCCTGACCTCCAAGTCCCCAGCACCATGCGGCTGTCGGCGCTGCTGAGCGCGGCACGGCCGCGGCTGCCCCCGGGGTACCGGCACGGGCTGTGGCCCCCCGACTCCATGGCAGCCCGGCTCCGCAACCCCCCGGGGCAGCGCCGCCGCAAGGTCTTTGTGGAACCCGTCGCCAAGGACGACTGGAAGGTGTTTAAGGGTGACACGGTGAGGCTCCCTCTCCCCGGGTTCCCCCCTGGCTGGCAGCGGGGCTGGGGGTCCCAGCTGTGCCCCTCTCTCCACCGCAGGTCCAGGTGCTGGCCGGGAAGGATGCGGGGAAGCAGGGGATGGTCACCCAGGTGGTGCAAGCCCGCAACTGGGTGGTGGTGGAAGGACTGAACACGGTGAGGCTGGAGCAGGGAGGGCTGGAGGGGGCTGTGAGGAGGCCGGGGAGGCCACGGGCTGTCAGTGACCCCCCCCGTGCCCTCGCAGCACTATCGCTACATCAACCGCACAGCCAAGTACTCCGGGACCTACATCACCAGCGAGGCACCGCTGCTGCTCAGCCAGATCTGCCTGGTGGACCCCGAGGACCGGTAACGGCCTGGGGGGGAGCTGAGGGAACCCCAGTGCTGCCCCCCACCTCAGTCCTGCCCCCTGCCAACGCTGTGTGCCCACAGGAAGCCGACAGAGGTGGAGTGGCGCTACACGGAGGAGGGCGAGCGTGTCCGCGTGTCGCTGCGCAGCGGCCGCATCCTGCCCGTGCCCCCCCAGCCACGCCAGGACGGCGTCGTCCCCGAGCAGTGGGTGGGTGAGTGCCACGGCAGCAGAGGCTGGGGGGATGTCCCGGGGGGACACAGGGAGTCAGCGCTGTCCCCCCGCCCGCACAGATGGCCCCAAGGACACGTCGGAGGAGGATGCGCTGGCCAAGACGTACCGGCCATCCCTGAAGACCTTCGAGGAGGAGATCATGGATGCCATGGGGATCGTGGAGACACGCCGGGCCAAGAAATCCTACTGGTATTAACTGGGGGAGCTGGAAGCCCCCAGAAGCTGGGCTCTGCAATAAACACCTCTCTTGATTTTCTGTGTTAGTAGCGTGCAGTGTTTTTGGAGCAGCACGGACTCACTCACACCCAAACCATACAAATCCTGGCTTTATTGTGCTCTGTGCCCAGGGCTGTGGGGGCTCTGCCCCACTCTGGGGGACTCTGCTTCCCCCAGGTCCTCATCCTTGCTGCTGTCTGTGTCCTCGCTGCTGTCCTCACTGTCCCTGTCCAGCCCGGCCAGCACTGTGGCCAGCGGGGTCCGTGCAGCCACCAGCACCAGGTTCCGCGGAGAGAACCGGGGGTTGAAGAGGGGCACAAGGGCACAGTGGAAACCTGGGAAAAAGGCAAAGGAGAGTCCCGAGAGCGGAGTGAGGGGTCCAGAGAGAGAGGAAACAGAAGAGGGGTTGGATCACCCTGGCAGCCCTGCCCACGCCCACCTTGCTCCCGCAGGTAGAGCAGACGGTCAAGCAGGATGAGGGTCTCCACAGCAGGTGCCAGAAGCTGCCCCAGGGTGCAGAATGCCACCACCTTGTGCTGCTGCTCCAGCATGGCCCCCACGGCCTCCGAGTCCAGCGGAACCCCCGCTGGGTCCAGTCCCGCAAGGGGCAGCCCCAGGTGGGCGTATCTGTCATGAAAGGGGGCAGGGGAGTCCCAGGCAGGACTCTCCCCTCCCCAAACTCACTGCAGGGCCAGGAGGGGACACAGAAGAGTGTCCCTACTCCCCAAACTCATAAGGAGAGTTCCAGAAAAGGATCCTCCATCCCCAAACCCAGGGAGGGCCAGCAGATTGTCCCAGAAAGGGGTCCCACCTCCCCAGACTCACTGGGGACCACCAGGGGATGCAGAAGAGGGTCCCCCCGCCCAAACTCACTGGGAGAAGCTGAGGGTATGCGCCTTCTTGCCTGGCTGCAGGCCCAGGTGCCTCTTGGCGGGGTCAGCGGTGCAGATGAGGCTCTCGAGCACGGCGCGGTAGCAGTGGGCTCGCAGCTGGGGGCTGCCCCCGCGCAGCCGCCTCTCGAACTCCTCCAGCGCGTGGCACGCGGCCTCCCGTGCGCGGTAGGACAGCTGGTGGCCCGGCAGCGCGGCCACCGAGGTGCTCAGGGGGTAGCCCGTGGGGCAGCCGGGGGGCTGCGGGCCGGTTGACAGCTTCATGTAGCAGCAGCCCACCAAGGCCACGGCAGCCACGGCGGGGCTGCGGGCGAAGTGGCTCAGCAGGGCCGGGCTGAGGTCCCCGCAGGCGTGGAGCCCCGTCACCAGCACCCGCCCCCCGTCCTCAGAGCCCCCCGGGCCCCCCAGCGGGTTCCTGGCAGCGGGGCCGGGTCCTGGGGGGTCGGGGGGCAGGAGCTCTCCCCAGGGAGCTGCGGGGTCCAGGCGCCCGGCCACGTGCTGCGGGGCCCGGGGGGTGAGGGGGCGCGGGGGGAGCCTCCCGTGCCCCCTGGCTTTCCCCAGCTCCTGCAGCAGCTCCCGGTCGAAGCGCTCAGCCAGGCCCACCAGGCGGCCGTCGCTCTCCACTGCAGTGACCGACAGGCCCAGGCCAAAGGCCAGGAACCGGGAAAGGTGGCCCTGTGGAGGGACACAAGCTCAGCTCGGGTGGGGGGATCCCCTGGGACCCCTCGGTGTCCCCCGCTCTTACCTGCCCTGCTCCAATATCCACCACGCGCTCGCAGCCGGTGGCCCGGCTCAGCCGCTGCAGCAGCTGTGGGGAACGGGGGCTGTTAGGGGGGCTGGGGGGACTCGGGAGGTCTCAGGGGATGGGGAGGGGCACCCACCTTGCCCAGGCGCTGGATCTCGTGCTGCTTTTTGGGCTTGACGTGGCGGCGGAGCAGCGGGTGCAGGCGGGAGCTCTGGCACGGGGGGCGCGGGGACCCTGCCGGGCACCCCCGAGGGAAGGCAAGGGCCCGGGCAGCGGCGGCAAAGGCCAGGAGGGACAAGGGCCAGGCAGCCCCCGGGCCCCCGCGGCCCCCCAGGAGCCCGGCCAGCTGCGCAGGGCTGGCGCTGGCCAGAGCGGGCTGCCAGGCCGGGGGCAGCTGTGCCCACAGACCCTCGGTGAAGAAATCCTGAGGGGAGAGGGGTCAGCGTGGAGAACACAGCCCGGGGGGGCACGGCCCGGGGACAGCTTGGGGACACTCACAATGACGAAGGCGTCGAGCAGGGGCCGGTAGAGCATCAGGAGGCGGATGATGTCAGCGGCCCGCCGCTGCTCCCGGGAGTGCCGCACGTGTGGGGGGCTCTGGGGCGCCATGGCAGCTCCTGGGGGCAGCGGGGATCAGCCCTGGCACTCCCACATCACCCAGAGCTCACTCCCTCCCCGGCTCTGCCCATCCCGTTCAGCCATATGACGTCATATGCCACGCCATGAGACATCACCCCTCTCGCAATGACGTCACGCCGCTGTGACACCCCCCGGAGCCACCACATCACCCCGGGGCATCACTCACCCCCGAGCACCCGTGACGTCACCGGGCCGGCCGGGACACCGGGCATGTCGCCGATGTCCCGCGACGTCGCTTTGACGTCACCAGTTACGTCACGGAGCCGTCGCGGCCGCGCGCGCGCTGCTCAGCGCACCTCGCCGCCGAGTTCCCGCCGCGGCGCGCGCGGATAACGTCACTTCCGGTACCGTGCACACCGCGTGTCTAACGGGAACTTCCGGTTCCGGGAGGCGCCGGTGAAGGGGGTGGGGGTGGGAGCGGGGGTCTCCGGGGGTCTCCGGGGGTCGGTGCCGGCACTCCCGGGTGTCGGGGATCCCCGGGGCCCAGCCGCCTCTCCGCACCGCAGCGGCCCCGGCCCGGTGCCGCCATGGACGATTTGATCCTCAACTTGGACTTCTCCGCCCCCGAAAGCCGCCCGAAGAAGAAGCCGGGGAACCAAAAGCACCAGAGCTTCGTGCGGCGGCGGCGAGAGCTGGAGCGCCGCGGGGTCCTGCGGCAGAAGCAGCTCCCGGCGGCACCGGGCGGGCCCCGGCGGGCTCCGGGACGGGGGTCGGGGAGGAGCGGGGGCGGCCCCGGGAAGCCTCGCTCGGGCCGGCCCGGGTCGTGCCCCAAAGAGAACGGCCCTGCCGCCGCCCCCCGATGCACCCCGGACTCCCAGAACGGCCACACCGGGACCTCAAGGACCAAGGGGAAGGCTCGGGGGGCGGCTCGGGACTCCGCCAAAGCTGTCGGAGCCCCCCCGGCATCCCAGAAGGGCTCCGCTGGAACCGGTGCTCCCGCTAGCAGCAAGGGGAAGGCTCGGGGGGCGGCTCGGGGCACCCCCACGGCCGGCGGTGCCCCCCCGGCGCCCCCCAAGCTCGTGGCCATAGACTGTGAGATGGTGGGCACGGGCCCCGGCGGGCGCACGAGCTCCCTGGCCCGCTGCAGCATCGTCACGTACGAGGGTGATGTGGTGTACGATCAGTACGTGCGGCCCGAGGCTCCCATCGTGGATTACCGGACCCGCTGGAGCGGGATCCGCCGGCAGCACATGGCCAGAGCCGTGCCCTTCCGCAGGGCGCAGCAGCAGGTGCGGGGGGAGCTCGGGGAGGGAGCGGGGCCGGGCTCTGCTGCTCCGAGGGGAGGGATTGTCCCCACGGCTCTGCCCCGTGGGGCACGGGGGCCTCAACCCCCCCCTCTCGTGCAGGTGCTGCGGATCCTCGCCGGGAAGGTGGTGGTCGGCCACGCCATCCACAACGACTTCAAGGCTCTGCAGTACTCCCATCCCAAAGCTCTGACCCGGGACACGGCGCAGATGCCGCTGCTGAACCGCCGGGCTGGCTTCCCGGAGAACACGGCCATCTCCCTCAAGCGCCTCACCAAGGCTCTGCTGAACCAGGACATCCAGGTACCGCGGCAGGGAGACGCTGGGGAGGGAAGTGCCATCCCTGGGAATGGATCCAAGGAACCCTGAATGCTGCCAGCCCTGGAGCAAGGCAGCCCCGTGCCTCAGTTTCCCTGGAAAGCAGCCAGTGGGAGGGGGGGACCTTCAGCTCAAACCCTGCAGCCTGGGGGACTTTTCCTTCTCTATCTCCCTCGCTATCTGTGCACACCCCACAGCACTGCCTGCAGCTCCCCAGTTTTCTCCTTATCCCTAAGTCTGCCTGTACTCCCCTGAGCTCCCCACATCCCCCTAAAGCTTCCCTTACCCCCAAATCTGCCTGTGCCCTCCCCAAATCTGCCTGCGCCCTCCCCAAATCTGCCTGTCCCCTCCCCAAATCTGCCTGCACCCTCCCCAAATCTGCCTGCACCCTCCCCAAATCTGCCTGCACCCTCCCCAAATCTGCCTGTGCCCTCCCCAAATCTGCCTGCACCCCCAATTCCCCACAGCTACTTGCACCCCCTCATCTCCTTGGAGCTGCCTACGTGCCCTGATTGCCACACGTTCCCCCACCTGATCCACCTGTCCCCCCAAATTTTCCTGCACACCCTCATCTCCATGTATCCCCCCCACCCTTGCGTGCACTGCCCCACAGCTGCCTGCACCCCCTAATCTCTCCACAATTCTGGCTGCCCCCCAAAATGGGAGCTGTGGTGACTTGTGTCTGTCCCCACAGGTAGGGAAAAGCGGGCATTCCTCGGTGGAGGATGCCCGAGCCACCATGGAGCTCTACAAGGTGGTGGAGGAGGAGTGGGAGCAGCACCTGCGGCAGAACCCGAAGCAGAAGTGACGCTCTGGGGGCTCAAAGTGACACCCCCAGCCTGGTCCTGCCTCTGGGGGAACCCAGAGTGACACCCCCAGCCTGGTCCTGCCTCTGGGGGAACCCAGAGTGATGCCCCCAGGCCTGGTCCTGCCCCTTGGGGCTCCTGTGGCTGCTGAGAGGCTGCCCCAGTCCGTGGATGACGAGGAGCAGGGTGTGACATCCCCCAGGCTGATGTGCCTTGTCCCGCCCTGTTCTCGCCAGGATTTGGGGAGGGACTGGGACGGTGCCTTCCCCAAGAGGGGTCTCTGGGATCCTGCGCCCCCCAGACACTTCGGGGCTGCTGCTGGTCCTGATCTGGGAGCGACACTGGGGCATCCTGAGCACAGCCCCCATCGCTGGGGCTTTGGGAATGGAGCGGGCTCCTTCCTCTTGCCAAAACTACCTCTGGCAGCTGCCCGTGCGCCCCGGGCCGCAGTGTAGGAGTGGGTGGGACTCGGATCCCTCTGGAAAGTCCCCACTTTGCTCCGGGAGCTGCTTGGGTCGGTGGTTGAGTTCCACCTACCTCGTTGTGCAGAGGGCAGGACAAACCCGGGCGTGGGGAGCAGCCCCGTGTGCCTGCCCGAGCCCCCAGTGCTGCCCCGGGGAGTCCCCCCGGATCCGGCCCGGGGACACCCCCGGCACCGGAGGGCGGCCTTACCCCGCAGGCGCCGGAGCCCGACGGGAACCGCTTTGAACTGAAACGTTTATGTGCAAAATCCTAATTAAAAAAAAAAAAAATAAAAAATTAAAGAGCTGTAACCTTCGGCGGGGGTGTGGAGGAGCCTCCGGCCCCGGTGGGCGGGAGGGGGGGGTCCCTTGCCGGGCCGAGGTCACCCGGAACCCTCCGACATCTGCGTCCCGGGGGCTCTTCCTCCCCCTCCTCTTCATGCCAAGGACGAGCTGGCCCCTTCCCCGGCTCTGGGCACCCCCCGGCACCCCTTTAGTGCTGAAAGCGAGGGGCTGCGGCAGCTCCGGGAGCGGTGCCGGTGCGAACCCGGCTCCTCCATGGGGGATCCCCCGCCCCCGCCGGGCTGGACGCGGCCCCGAGCCCCCGACGTGCGTCACTTTTTCCAGAGTTTCCTCGTGTTTACGTGGCTGCGCTTGGCTCGGGGGAGCCCGAGGGAGGGTTTTGGGGTGAACAACCCGGCAGTGGGAGGGGCCCGTCCCCCTTTATTTGGGGTTAAACGCGGAGATCTGGAGAGCGAGCATCCCACGGGCTTGCGGAGTTCGAGGGGAGCATCCCTCCCACTCCTGCCTTGCACACCCAGGGGGTGGGAAAGCTGTCAGAGCCCCAAAATCCAGAGGAAGGTGGGAGGGCGGAGGAGCAGGCGGGAGCCTTTGTGTCTGGGCCGGGTTTGGCGGTGATTAGGGGCTTTGCTGCGGTTATAAATGGCCGGTCGTTAAAGGGGTTTATGGCCCTGGAAATGAGAAGCAGCCGGCCGGGCCCCAGCCCTCGGCGGCTGCGGGATGTGGGTCAGGGTCCCGGGGGCTTCGCTTGAATCTCACCCGGGGGTACCCCCGGATGGGGCTGGGGGCCGGGCGCGGGCTGGAACGGAGGGTCCCGGGGCTGGGGCAGAGCCCCGGAGCTGAGGGAAGGTCCTAGAGCCGGGACAGGGCTGGATCGGGGTCCTGGAGCTGAGTGAGGGTCCTGGCAGGGGCAGGGCTGGATCGGGGTCCTGGAGCTGAGTGAGGGTCCTGGCAGGGGCAGGGCTGGATCGGGGTCCTGGGTCGGGGCAGGCTCCCGCTGTGGCGGCACCGCACAGCTCTTGGGGCACGTGGGCTCCCTCCCGCCCCACAGCCGGGGGTCCCATCGGCCACGGGGCCGGGGCCGGACTCGGTCGCGCCGTCCAGCTGGGTTTCATTTCCGTAGCGGCCGTGGCCGTGGCCAGAGGCGGGGGGTGGGGGCTGCGTCCCGCCAGCTGGGAAGGATTTGTGGGGACATGGGGCGGAGACGACGGGTGACCTGCCCTTGCTCAGGCTTCACCCCCCAGCCCCCCACAGTGCAGCCCCCCCATCCTCTCTCCCAACTCACCGAGAGGCTGGGGAAATTGGGATGACCCCCGACAGATTTGGTATGGGGTGGGGGTACCCGACACCCCCTCCCGGGGCGGATCCCGGGCACCGGGGAGGGGCGGGGGGAACATCCCCAAGCAACCACATCCTCCCAGGAGGGGCTCTGGGGCACCGACAGCATTTGGGGGGATCCCCCGGGGGTACCGGGGCAGCGATGGAGCCCTGCCTGGGGTGGGGGAGCCCCCCCGCCCCGGTTTGCGCTCAGGATTTCTGCGGTTTGTGAGGATTTTTGCCGGGAAGGGAGGTGCGGGCGGTGGATGGTGCCGGATGTTTCCAGGGGCTGAGCCAGCTGCTGCTGCCCTGGCACTGGGAGCCGGCTCTCCACCCGCCTCCCAGGGAATCTGAGCCCTTCCCAGGGGTGACAGGCGTTCCGGGGGCGTTATTTGGTGCCCGTAGTTTGCCTGCCGACCCCAGGGCTTCACCGGGATGGTCGGGAGAGGAGGGTGGGGTGCGAAGGCTTTATCCGCCTTTCCCGGCAGAATCCCTTCCAGATGTGGGGCTGCCGGTGCTGGCGCTCATAACCCCAGTGTGTCACGGTACCCAGCACGGAAGCAGGGGTGCCCCGAGGGGTTTGCCCGCAGATCCCACCCCAGACCCCTCCACCCAATTACCCTGGAATGTGGATGTTTTTTATTGTTTGGGGTTTTTTTGTTTTTTCCCCTATTTTCCCCTGATTTGGAGCAAACCCACAGCACCGCCCCTCCTGTGACTCCGGGATGGGAGGACGCAGTTCCTGCGTCCCCTGGGGTGAAGGGGTTGGGGTGACCCTTCACCAGCACCCCCTTCCCGAGCCCCGGCAGTTCTGCCTGTCCCTGTCCCCTCTGGCACGACCTCGGCGCTGCTGTAGGTGAAGTTATGTCAGCGCTTGGTGAGAAATCCTGTTCTTCGGGGGATTAGGGATGCGGCAAGCCGGGACTTGGCTCACCGGCCCGAGCCGGAGGTTCTGGGGGCACAGGGGGGACGTGGACAGGAGGAGGGGGGCGGCGGGGGCTCTGTGGGGCCTTTTCACCCCAAATCGGAGAAGAAACCTCTCTCCTTCCATTCCAGAGCTCCTGCTGAACCAGAAACGCCATTTCTTGCTTTTCTTGCCCAGAACCGGCCCCGCAGCGCAACCTGCCCTTCCCGCGGCGGTTCCCAGGGCTGAAAAACCTCGGGAAATCCCTCGGCGCTCCTTACCTGCCTGAGACCAGGCTTTCACCTGCCCCTGGCAGCTCACCCCAAGCTCAGGAGCAGCCTCCCTGCCCTGCACGCACACGAGTGTGCCCGGACACGGCTGCGAGTTTGTGCGTGACCGTGAGGCTGGGAAAGTCTCAGCCCTGCCCGCGTACTCGTGCCCACACGGGCGCACCTGCAGCCGCCCGTGCCAACATCCCAGCCCTGTGAACACGCGTGTCCTGCGCACACGGGGGGTGCGGGTGGGTCTGGGGGGGCGCGCAGTTGCAGGGGGACGCGTGGAGATCGAGGGGTGCAGGCAGCTTGGAGGGGTACAGCCGGATTCGGGGGGTGCAGCAGCTCCCGGGGGTGCAGCACACGTGGGGTACAGGCAGATTCGGGGGGATGCTGGAGATTAGGGCGGTACAGGCAGCTCGGGGAGATGCAGCCAGCCTGGGGGGTGCGGGGAGATGAGGAGCGTTCAGATCTCAGCGGGAATGGGAGGAGTTTGGGGGGCACAGGCAGAGCAGGTGGTGCCTCCAGGCTGCACCCCCACGGCAAATGGGGGCGGGGGGCTCCCTCTGGGCTCTCACTCCGCAGGTGAGCGCGGAGCCCCCGTGCCGGGGCCGGGGGGTGGGACCAGCTCGGCGATAAAACGGCGGCGCGGGCGGGACGGGGCGGACGGACGGAGGGAGCCAGCGGCGGGGCCGGTGCCGGTGCGGAGGGTGCAGCGGATCCCTCGAACCGCTTCTTCCCCCCTCGGTCCCCTCCCTGCGCCCCCCACGCCGGCAGCCGCGATGCCAAACTTCTCCGGGAACTGGAAGATGAAGAGCTCGGAAAACTTCGAGGAGCTGCTGAAGGCGCTGGGTGAGTGGAGCCCCGCTCTCCCTCCGCGTCCCTCGGGGACTCCCTCGGGCTGGGGGCGGCGCAGGGGGGGCGGGGGGGCTTCCCCCCGTCTCCCCTCCAAATCCTCTTGCAGCCCGGGAGTCACGGTGCCCAGAAGTGCCGTGTGCCGGGGGGATCCCTCTGCTCCCCCTTTCAAACAAAGCTCTCGTGGCTGGTGCCCCACTGAGGAGTCAGAGGCAGGAGGGGGCCGGGCAGCGTGTCCCGATCCCGATGGATCCCCTGCGGGTCCTCCTCTTTCCTGCCTCAGTTTCCCCGCTCTGGTGGTCCCCCAAGCATGGGCACCCCCAAACACGGGCTCTGCCACCACGCCGCTCTCCTTCGGTCCCTCTGCCCCCCATCCCGAAAGCGCCCGTGGGCTCGCCTGCCCCACGGACCCTGGGTACAGCCGGTGTCCCCAAAACCAGCCCAAGCAGGTCCCCACAGTTTTGGGGTCCCACCCTCATAGGCCTCATCTCGGGCCCCTTTGCCCCCCACGGCAGAGCCGTGTCCCCGGTGAGCGGGGGTGGGGAGGGCCAGGAGTCACGGCAGGGGCTGGAACTGGGGAGGCACAGGCCGGGGGGTCCCCGGGGCTTTGGGCAGGATCAAATCCAGCTCCCCCACTGCTCCCCTCCGCCTGACCCGCTCCTCGCCAGCCGGGGAGCTGCCGGAGCAGAATATTTTCCAGGTTAGGGGATACGTAACGAATATTTCAGGATAATTATCACTTTCTTGGGTTTCACTCCCGATCCCCCGTCGCCCCTTCTCCCCGCCCTGGCCCCGCTGCTGGAACCGGCTCGGGGAAACCTCAGCAGGAAAATAAATCTGCCGCCCCCCCCGGAGCCCTGTTCCTTTCCCACGGCGCAAAGTGGGGGCTCCTGCAGGCCGGTGCCCCCGGTCGTGCCGGGTGGAGGGGCTGGGGGCTTTGTCAGCCTCAGGCCCCCGGACTGACTGCACCATAGCGCCCTAGCCTTGTTTTTGCTCCTTTTGGGGGCTGTTCCTTCTCCCCCACCCCCGACAGCATCATATGGGGGGCGTGGGGCACCGTGTCTGCCCCCACGAGGTTTTGGGCATCTCCCCCCAGTGTGAATCAGGCCTCGGCAGGAGGGAAGGGACTTGGGGGTGTTCGTGGGGACTTGGCGTGGCCATCGAGGGGGCTCCTCAGGGACGTGTCCCTTCTCACTGCAGGGGAGTTCGTCTCCTGGAGCCCCCCGAACACTCGCGGCCCCTCCGTGTCTCCCCCGTCCCTGTGCCGGGGGGAGCCTCCTTTGTGCAGGGACCTTCTCGGGGGGTGGCCGGTATGGACCCGGAGGGTGACATGGGAACAATGTCCCCAAAGAGCAGCTCCCCCCTGTCACAGCCGGGGGCTCCAGGACGTGATGGATGAGCCGCCTCTGGAGCGGGGACAAAGCCCCAGCTGCCCCGCGTTGGCGAGGGGGCTGCGGGGGGAGACGTGGGACCCCTCGGGGGGGGTCACGCAGGTCACCTAACACAGAGCTCGGACTGGGGCCCTTGTCCCTGCTGTCACCCCGCCCTGGGTGAGCCCTTGCCCCCGTCACCCCTGTCCCTTCCCCCGGGCGCATCCGGCGCCAAGCCCGGCACTCCCCCTCCCGCCCCCTCCACCAGGTAACGAGAGCCAGATGTGGCCCAGATGTGGCCAGGGGGGCTCGTCCGTCCCCTCCCGGGTTGCGTTGAGCCACCTGCAGCTCTCGGCGCACCCTGGGACGCGTCACTGCCAAGTGTGGGAGCTGCGGCCGCGGCCCCCCCGTGCTCCCCCCGGCTCGGAGGGCGGTGGGCTCCGCACGGCCCCCGAGGGAACCGAACCAGCCCGGTTCACCGGGGGACGCTGCGGGGCTGGAGGGGGAGCTCGGTGCCACCATCCCCTTCCCCAGGCGTGAACATGATGCTGCGGAAGATCGCGGTGGCGGCGGCAGCGAAGCCGGCGGTGGAGATCCGGCAGGACGGGGAGAGCTTCTACATCCGCACCTCGACCCCCGTGCGCACCACCGAGATCCGCTTCAGGGTGGGCGAGGAGTTCGAGGAGCAGACGGTGGATGGGCGGCCCTGCAAGGTGTGCACACGGGCACCCGAGTGTGTGTGTTAGTGTGAGTGTGAGTGTGAGTGTGTAACACTGCACCAGGGGCTCTTGTGCACACGAAGATGTTGGTGTGTGTTCGTGCACGTGTGCCCGTGGACACACTCGAGTTTGCACCGACACGTTTGGCGTTAGGGCAGGATCTCTCAGCTGTGTCTGTCTGCACTCAGCCACCTTCTCCCCGCAGCGTGGGGGCTGCTTCCTCTCTTCCCGGACCCCAAGCTCTCCCTGTGCCCCCCAATCCCTTCCCATACCCCCAGCCCTGTGCCCCTAATCCCTCCCTTGCACCCCCCATAACTTCTCTGTGCACCACAAAACCTCAACCCCTCCTTGTGCAACTCAACCCCTTTCCTGCACCCCCAAAGTCTCCCTGTGCCCCCCCAGCCCCTTCCTGCACCCCCAACCCCTTCCTGCACCCCCAGCCCCTTCCCTGTGCTCCCACCCCCTTCCCTGTGCCATCAACCCCTCGTTGTGCCCCTCATCCCCTCCCTGTACCCCCAGGTGCCAGATGAGCCCGGACACGGGTCTGGCACCGGGACAAACGACCCCGTTCCGCTGCCGGGGGTGGTGACAGATACTCTGGGATGGGTGGAAGGTGTCCTGCGGGTTCCCACATCCCCATCCAGCGCTGCCCTCTCTCCCCCTGCAGAGCTTGGCCAGGTGGGAGAGCGAAAACAAGATGGTGTGTGAGCAGCGGCTGCTCAAGGGCGACGGGCCCAAGACGGGCTGGTCCCGGGAGATGACCAACGACGGGGAGCTCATCCTGGTGAGGGGGAATTCGGGGGGCAGCGCTGCCCGCAGCGTGCGCTGGGACACCCCCACGGAGTGGGGTGCGATGGGGAGGGAAGGGGGCCACGGCCGTGCCTGTGACCCTGCTTCTCCTTGCAGACCATGACGGCCGACGATGTTGTCTGCACCAGGGTCTACATCCGGGAGTGACCCCCCCGCTCAGCTGACACCCCCCACCCCCCGTATCCCCCCTCCCCCACCCCGTGTCCCCTCAGTCCCCTGCACTCATCCCCCCGCCACGGTGCAGGACGGTGTTGCATCTCCCCACGGGGGTACAGCAGTGAACCCCTTTTCTTTGGGGGGACACACACACGGCTTCCCCTCCCTCTGCAGGGCGGGCTCTCCCCAGGGGCAGCAGAATCTCCCGTTCTGGCTCCGCTCTGCTGCGGACGAAGCGCTCAGGGCCTGGCGAGGTGCCGGGATGCGGTGGGGGGTAACGCGGCCCCTCCCTGCCCTTTGGGCTGGTTTGAGCTGGTTTGGGTTTCGGCTGCTGTTGGTTCCCGCAGCCCCCAGCCCTGCCCCGCGACCCCTCCCCAGTATTTATTTGTGAATATTGTACCAGACCGGAACACCAAACCCCCCCAGCCTGGGGCAGTGCCAGGTCCCAGCCCCTCCAGGGTCCAGCTTCCCTCTCTCACCTCCCTCCTTTTTCAATAAATGTCTTATAACCCCCCCGTGCTATCCGTGTCTCTCCTGCTGGCCCCACTGGCACACAGATCCCACCCCCTGGGTCTCATGCTCTGGATCCCACATCCCAAATTCTGCGCTCTAGATCCCACACCCCACATCCCTGAATCCCACAGCCTGGATTCTGCACCCCAGATCCCGCACTCCAGATCCCACACCCTGCATTCCACACCCCGGATCCTTCGCCCTGGATCCTGCGCCCCACATCCGCTCCCCGGCCGTTGCGCAAGGGGCCGGGGGCGAAGGCGGCAGCTGGGTTGGCACATCCCGGCGTGGGAAGCGGGTGGTGGCTCTGCGGTGACCCTGGGGTGACTGTGGGGCAGGGAGGGCGCTGTGGGGCTGGGGCGTTGGGCTCTGCCTCAGCTCTAGCGTGGGGGGCATGAGACCCCTGCCCAGCCGGCTTTGGGGAGCTGGGGGCGCCTCTGGCTGCTGCCCGCTGGGACGCGGCTCTGGGCATTTCCCAGGGATGCTCTTTGGGCGCTGCCCGATAATTGCCCTGCACGGGATGGCATTAATTACCCCTGGGTGGGGGGCTCAGCCAGCGGGGGCTAAGCTGGGGAGGTGTAGGAAGGGTCGGGGTGCAGGACTGCCCTGCCTCGAGGCTGCCCTCCATACCCTGCCCAACTCGGATCTCCCGGAATGGGCTGGGACCCCTCGGCCAGGGCAGCCCGAGCCGCTGTGGGGCGGGTGGGGGGCACTGCCCCACCGAGCTGGTGACAGGGGGGGTCTGAGCAGGGGGATGGAGAAGGGAGCCAGGGCTCAGGGCTGGCTTCATCCCCACACCCGGGGTGTGATCCTGCACCCCGGGAGTGCGTCCAGCAGCAGGAAGGGTGGAATTACACCTTCCCTGGGGAGGAGGAGGAGAAGGGGGAGGAAGGCTCCGGTATCTCCAGGTGGCCACTTGGCAGGCGCCCATCACCCCTGTCGCCATTCCCAAAGCGCTGCCAGGGCCGTGTGCCGGCTCTCCCGGAGTCCCCGAGGGTGGGGGCAGGACCCCTCCCCACTTCACCCAACCGGCCCCCGGAGACCCCGGGAACGGCACGGCCGGGCGGAGCAGCCGGTAATGGAATCCAGCCGTCCCCCCCCGGCTCCGACGGCCTCCCCTCGTTGGAGGAATATCCGCTTTCCCCCCGCAAGCCCTGGGGACGGCTCCGGTTTGCCTCGGGTTGGGGGGATCTTTGGGAAGGCTCTGGGACCCCGAGAGCTTGGGGGCGCATCTGCATGGGGGGTGGTCTGTGGCTGCCTGCGCTCCCCCCGCACCGGCCCGGGGGTCCCATTCTTCTGCTCTGCGGTGCTGGGGGGCTCCGGGAGGGGCAGCGGCGGGAGGCGCCCCCTCCCCTCCCCGGAGTACGGCCGCTGCTCGGGCCGTTAGATGGCGGCTGCTCTCGAAACAAAAACAAGTTCCTCTGTGCCGGGCTGGGTAGGGGGGCTGGGATGGAGGGGCCGTGAGTAACCCCAAAATTTCTCTGGAGGCTGCGGCCCCCTCCCACGGCTCCGCGTGGGTGGTGTCGAGGTCCCCGGCGCCTCTAATCCGGCACTAATCCTCCCCGGTGACCCCGGTGGCCCCCGGGCGGCCCCGCTGCCCCCCCGGGCTGGGGAGGGGGCCGGGCTGGCCCCTCGCCTTTCATCTCCGGAGACAAAGCGGGGCCGGCCCCCTCCCCGTTCTGTGCGCAGGGAATGAATGCCCGACCCTGGGGGACCCTGGCCCCTCACCCCGGAATTTTTCCATGCATTTTCTGGAAGCAGAGGCTGGGCTGGGTGTGGGGGAACTGCGGGGGGACGTGGCTGCATCTCATACCCCCGCCCCTCCTGGCTCTATCGGGAGGGAGCGGGGGCTTCGATGTGCCTGAAGCGGGGGCTGCGCTGGCTCCTGCCCTGCCGGGGATGTCCCTGCGCGGGCAGGGGGACAGGACTCGTGGGGCAGGTTTGGGGGCACCCCCTCCGGTGGGCCAGGACGATGGGGACGCGGATAGAGGAGGGAGGCTGAGCCGGAGGAACAACACCCCCCACACACACATCCCCATTCCCGTGCATGACCCCAGGCAAAGTGTGCCCCTAGGGCTGGTGTCACCCCCCAGTCACCCCCACACCCTCCCAGGACCACTGCCCAGCTCGGAGCCCACCCTGGACGGTCCGGAGGGTCCCTGCCGGCTGCTGGATATCCTCCCCCCAGCAGAGGTACTCGGTGAGGAGCTGGGCACAGGGAGGTGCCCAGGGCGGGGTCTGGGCCCCTCAGCTCCCCGGAGAGCAGACTCTCGACAGTGTCACAAGCTTGGTGGCCCAGGGGCGTTGGGTGGGCCCAGTGCCGGCCAGGGCATCGCGCACCTGTGCAGGTGGGCTCTGGCACACGGCAGGGGTCCCTGCCCCGAGGCAGCTCCTTGCACCCAGTGCGGTCTCAGGGGTGCCCCCACCGAACTGGGGTGACAGCTCGTCCCCGGGGGTGTCCCCACGGCTCAGGGCAGCCAGGGACGCTGACGTCTGCATGGCTCAGGCTTAGCCCCGGGGGAGGGTGACTGTCACCTCCTGCGGGCTCAGCCCCTCCCTGTGCCCGGTGGGCTGGGGGCTGTTTCCCCCTTCCCCCCCACTCCCCTCGGCTGGCAGCCGGCCAGCATTGTTCTCCCCGCCACCGCCTCCTTCTCCTCCTCCTCCTCCTCTCCCCCTCCAGCTGCATCTGGCGCCGGAGCTTTCCTGGGCTCCAGTGGAGGGGGAGCCTCTAGCTCCAGCCCAACAGAGTCCCCCCAGCCTGGGCTGCCCTGGGCAGGGGGCTGGGGGGCTTCACCCCCATTCCGTTGTAGAGGGGAGTCTCGTCCAGCAGCTGCCTCCAGTGGGGGAGGCTTGGGGAGGTTGTCAGATGCAGCTTGCCCCCCAGAATGGCTTTGGGGGAGTCCCCCTGAACTGCTGAGTACCCCAACTCTGCCTCATGGCTGGAACCTCCCATGGGATGAGCACAGGACTGGAAAAAGGGGGGGGGGCTGAAGCTGTTTGGGGGAATCTGCTTCCACTTTGGGGTCTGAGATGATGCAGAGGGTCCAGGGATGAGTTGTGGAAGTGGGAGAGGGGGCTCTGGGGGTGACACGGCCAGGCCAAGGGGCTGGGGGTACACACAGGGTCAGGACTGTTTCAGGACAGGGGAGAAGGGCACACAGACAAGGGGGGATTGCAGGGCTGGCAAAGGGGGGAAAGGAAGTGGGATAGGCCCCTACCTAGGCTTGGGGTCTCTGTCCTCCCCTGCAGGAGCAGGAAGAGCTGGGAGCAGCCAGGGGCAAGGGAAGGCAGGATCTGGCACCTCCCGGTTGTGTAAGGATGGGGAAACTGAGGCACACCCAAGATCAAAGCAGGGCAGAGTCACCGCCCCCGGGCTCCCGCTGCCCCACGCTCAACCCCACACCCTGCCCCACACAGCATCCCACGCTCAACCCCACACACCGAGTTGGGATTTGCGTTTAATGCCAAGTACAAAGTCACCGCCCCACCCCCACCCCCCCCCAAAAAAAAAAAAAAAAAAAAAAAAAAAAAAAGAAAAACTTCTAAAATTCTTCCAAAAATAAATTAAAGGGAAGGGACGGGTCCCCCCCAACCCCTCCTGTCCTGTGCAAAGAGAAAAGAGCCACCCCCTCTGCATCCCAGGCCTGAGCCAGGCTCCAGTAAGGAAAGAAATGGGCAAAGCAAGGGGTTGGGGGCCCAAGCTGCAGCCCCCGCAGTGTGGGGCTGGGAGTGGGGCATCCCCGATGGGGGTGGGCAGTTCCCCTCCTCCCCACACTGGCTCCAGCACAAGCTTGGCCCCACCACAGCAGATGGGGAAACTGAAGCAGGGCCACCGGGCATCTCCCGCTCTCCAGCCAGGGCTGAACCTTCCCAGTTTGGGATGTGCCCGCCGGCAGCTGGACCCGGCACCACGCCCCCCACCCGAGCCCCCCACCCACGGCAGCGGCGGCTCCACCACCCGGGGCTGGAGGCAGGGCAGGGCAGGGGGCCTCACCCCGCAGGGCTGGGGGGCTCTGCCGGCTCCAGGGGGGGCGAGGGAGGTGAAGTGCTGTCGGAAAGGCGACCTATGTACATCCCTGAACGTGGCGGCTCCGCCAGCCCCCTCCCCACCGCGCGGCCCTGGCCCTGCCCCGCCTGTGCCCGGGGGGCTCCGGCCCCCCCCCCGCTATGAGGTCTGGCACTGGACGTGCTGGCGCATCCCATCCTCGAAGTCATCCTCGTGATAGGCTTCTCCAGCGTAGGGCCGCCGGCCCGGCCCGCCGTGCGCCGTGTAATCGCTGAGCTCCACCTCCTCCGTGTCCTCCGTGGCCATCACCTCCTCCTGAGGGGGGAAGAAGGCCTGGAGCTGGCGCAGGCGGTCAGTGGGGAGCCAGCCCGGCTCGGGGAACTTGACCTGTGACCAGAGAGCGGATGTGAGGCGTGGGGTGACGACTCAGGAAGCCCAGAGGTGGGAGATATCAACTCCTGCCCTGCTCTAGCTCACCTCAAACTGCAGGATGAGCTTTCCTTTCTGAAAGGG